CTCTCTCTCTCTCTCTCTCTCTCTCTCTCTCTCTCTATCTATCTATCTCGCTCTCTGTCTATCTCTCTCTCTGTCTCTCGCCCCCCTTTCTCTCTCTATGATCACGAGCAGAGAGCTACACAAAACTGCAAATACACACACAACAACAAGCAAAGAAGAAAAGCACAGACACCCTCCAAACCAAAAATCCCTCCATCCCAAAAAACAAACAACCCGCGTCGACAAGTAAACAAAAAATCGAACACAAACAAAAGAACAAAATACACATGGACAAACAAACACCAAACACGTAGACAAACGAACAAACAAACAGACAAAACAAACATAACGAAAACAAATTAACGAAAACAAATAAGTGTTTAAAAAACCCAAAGATAAAACAAAACAAAACAAAGCAAAGCAGAGAAAAAGCAAAAAAAAACAAACAAAAAAACCCTCACCAACCCCCTTCCTCCCAAACAATGAAAAACAGCAACAAAAAACCAAACTCCAACAACAAGAAGCCAACAGACAGACTCACCTTGAAAAACGCCAAGGCGACGTTGGGCAGATAAATGAGGCAGAGAGTGAGAACGGCTAGTTTTCCCGCGTGAACCATGACTGGGTCTGCACCTGATCGGACCGCTGACGTCACCACACTCTCACTCTTTTTTGGAGGAAAGTTCTTTATTTATCGAAGTCCAAGCACAAAGCAGCGTAACCTTCAGTCCACCTCCGATTTAAGGTCAGTAAAGGCACCTCTGTGTGTAGCTGAGTGGAAGCGACCGTCTCTGGAAGGGGGAAGAAAACCGAGAACACTTTGGTCAGTTTCTTAGTTATGAGAGTAAGAGTTTTACAGTTGGAGGATACAGAGACACAGAGTTTTCTACAGTCTGGTGGCGTTGGCTTTTTTTTTCTCAAATAAATGTGTGATTTTACGCCCCCATCGACACAAAGTAGATCAATTAGAAAGTGGATTTTCAACCCTGTCTGTACGAACAGGCCATCCCAGACTGAGAGGGGTACAACATGCCCACATGAAGACCGAGATACCCGATAAAAAGGTTCCCCCAACTCGGGAATCGAACTCGAGTCTCCTGTGCGCAATAGCGAAGAACCTAACTGCTCCACACGGGTATCGGTGAATTCAACGTTCAAAACGGAAGAAACACGCAGAACTTGGGCTTGGGATGTCCAATAGGAAAATTATCATCTAAAAATGATTGATCATTAGCAAATGGTATCATTTGAAAGCTTTCTGTTTTCCTGAATTGAGAAATTCGTGAAGATGAAATTAAAGGGGTTTTGTTCAAAAGACTTTTGCACATTTTTCAACTTAACTACTTCTGTGGGCGATTGGAGGGTGTCACTGACAGGTCCTACTTTTTTCCTTTCCTTCTGTTGTTTCTGTTTGTGTGGGTGGTTGGAGGATGTCATGACAGATCCTACTTTTTTCTTTTTCTCTGTTGTATATGTCTGTCTATTTGTTTGCCTTCCTGTCTGTCCGTTCCTTATCATTAATGTTCACTAAATTTAAATGTGAACACTCTTTTAGTTTACTCAAACTCTTCTCCTCATCCTTCCTCTACTTCACCATCTTATTTTTTCTTCTTCTATTTTCTTTTCTTTTACTTCTTGTTCGTGTTCTCCTTCTCCTTCCATTTTTCCTCCTCCTTCTCCTCTCCCCCTACCCCTCCTTCTCCTCTCCCCCTACCCCTCCTTCTCCTCCTCCTCCTCCTCCTCTTCTTCTTCTTCTTCTTCCTCTTCTTCTCCTCCTCCTCCTCCTCCTCCTCCTCCTCCTCCTCCTCCTTCAAAGGTAAGGCCAGTCACCCCAGCGTCTGTTGCTCGCCGTCCCACAGGCCATGGGGTATTTCACTAGATGATGCAACACCACTCCCACACTCCCACCACTCCCACACTCCCACCCCCCCCAAAAAAAAAACACATACGCACGCGCGCGGACGCACGACAGGGGAGCCCAAACTCTCACCTTCACAAGTTAATTCAACGCGTGGCCTATTTGATTGTCCGAGGGAAAACATACAGATCTAGAATCTAGTTCTACATTAAAATTAAACAAACAACAACAGCAACAACAAAACCCTAACTCAAACACTTGAGCACTAACTGAGAGCGAAAAAATGTCCACACAAAAAAATAATTCAAAAGAACTTATCCCTTGTCATTAATACTCTGAAATTACGTTAACTGACTGCGCGCGTGCGCTAGAATTTGAAATATTCAGAAAAAATAAAAATAAAGAAATTTTTTACTTACAACTGTGTGTTTGAGAGTTCTTCAGTTAGCAGAAATCCGGTCTGTTATCCTGTATCATCCAATGGGAACTCTTGACTTTGGGGCGAACACAAACTGTCAACAAAGTTGTCTTGAAGGGGGAAGTTTAGAGTATCAACAAACTGAAGTTACAGAAGTGACAAAAATCTGAAGAGCGGTGGGAAACGGCCGCTCATTTATAGTGCGTCTTCTGGGCAGACGAGACGTGAATGGAGAAACGTGTGAACCAATCAGATTGCGCGTAGGAGGTTTGTGCGCGGAGTGATCGCTCAACGATTCCCTCCCGTCGGCCGAGAGGAGTAGCGAGGGAGCGGAAGAATACTGAGGAGTTGAGAGTTGAGAGGAGTAGGCAGGCAGACATAGTGCTGGTGGTGGTGGTTGTGGGGAAGCTGATGAAATCTCTCTTGTTGAGTTTTGCTACTCTCTCTCTCTCTCTCTCTCTCTCTCTCTCTCTCTCTCTCTCTCTCTCTTTATGTCTATGTCTCTCTCTCTATTTCTCTCTCTCTCTCTC